AACAACAAGTACGATAATCTGGTATGACAAAGCGAAAGTTTTGCATAGTAGGGGGTGGAGAAAAAACTTCAGGCTATTTACGAATAGTTTCATACTCGTTAAGATATTCCTAGAATTCTTATTTTTCACATTTTTTCACGAAAACGGTCAAACACTGGCTGATGGTCAATTACTGGCGTTTTACCCTATACCTTGCTTCATCCGGTAAGTCGATTTCCACAGTCTGAAAATAATTCAAACTCTAACTCTGGACAAGTACAACAAAGACCTGGAAACAATCCTCAAAATTCAACTTCAGGAGGGGAATCACTTACACCGTGATTCACACCAAATAGTTTCCGTAAATCCTTATGACTAGCACCTAATAAAAGATTTTTAAGTATATGTATTTACTTATATATTGCCACTAATTAGTTAATAAAATTTAACATGTTTCGCTATATCAACTAATTAGTGGAAATATTATAATTAAATACATATACTTGAAAATATTTTATTAGATTATGAATTTCCCCCGAGTAGAAGCCAATTCAATACAAAAGACTAGCACCTATACAACCAAGCATACAAGAGACAGTCTTATCATTTTCAACACTGAGCGGTGAGATGCTATTGGCCACTGCAATAGTAACTATATTTGACATTAGAGGCTGCCCACTTAATGTCAAAGCAATTCTTGATCCGTGCGCTACCACTTTTTAATGACAGACTGTCTCCTTAGAAAACTAGGCTTTACGCCTGAAAAAAGAGAAATCCGCATTGACTGTGTTGGCAACACTGTCACCAACTCGAACAGGGTTTTGAAATTATCAATTTGTTCGAACATAAAAAAAATTACTTCTTCGACGTGACTTGTATAGTCTTAGATAAAATAACCAATCGTTTACCACCGTTTTTCCTAAATTTGGATTCGATTGTGATTCCTGACAATGTCAGCTTGGCTGACCCACAAATTTTTTGTTCCTTCGCACATTGATTTACTGCTTGGTGGAGAAATCTTTTATCAGTTGTTAACAGGACTAGGAGGTATCCTTCGTATACATGGTAAATTTTTGACAGTTGTTGACACCCATCTATAGGGTTAGTAGTGGTAGGTCCTAGCCCAAATCGGTTTATTTCATACAATGAAAAATTCGACAATGCTCAAATTAATTTGAAACCAGTATAGTTGCTCAAACTTCAACGGATTCACTACTTGAAAAGTTTTGGAAGAAATTACTTCTTAGGATAAAATATTCACCCCTGATGATGAACTTGCAGAAACACTATTTCGTCAAACCGTTCGAATTCTTCCTGATGGGTCTTTCGAAGTGACACCTCCTTTAAAAAGACCAAATGAACGTTTAAAACTTGGGATTCATTTACCATGGCTCAAAAACGATTTCTGAATCTTGAACGACGTTTTGCCAAAAATCCTGATCTTTTTCATAAATACAATAGCTATTTAACGATAAATACATCTCGTTAAATCATGTCAGATTTCCTCCCGACATTGTTAATGATAATGGAGAAAACAAAATATTTTTTTTACCAAACCATTGTGTACCCCGAGGCAACAGTCCGCTACCAAACTCAGGGTGGTGTTTGACGCCTCCATGAAAAGTTCAAGTGGATTTTCACTGAACGATATTATGTTGAAGGGCTTTCCAGTACAGCCTGAAATTTTCGATGTACTTACCCGTTTCAGAACATTCAAATTCGTTCTTATTTGTGACGTTATCAAAATATTTCGATGTATTCGAGTTTTCATTAAACAAACATCTCTTCAAAATATTTTATGGCGTGATAATTTAGAGCAACCACTTCAGTGCATTAAGCTGCTTACTGTTACCTATGGTACCTACTAATAATGCTCCGTATAGCAACCCATGTTCTTCAATAACTTGCAATTGGAAATAAGGACAAATATCATGTAGCTGCCTACGTTATCTTACATCAGAAATACGTTGACGACATCCTTGCCACCTGTGATTCTTTAGAAGAGTTAAATGAAATTCAACAGCAGCTTTGTAACGTTGCTTCAGTCAGCGAACTTTGGTCTTCATAAGTGGTGTTCAAATCATAAAGAATTTCTCAAAGATATATCTATTAATTGTTGAATGTTGACTTCACTCTCAATTACCAAATTTATGAAATTTATTGCGAAAATAGCATCAATAGGGTCTTAGGAATTTCATGGAACTCAAATTTTGATGAATTCACTATCACGTTACCGAATATTCTCGATAAGGTCGTTACTACGAAAAAAGTAGTTTTGTCACAGATAGCGCAACTATTTGATCTGCTAGGTCTTGTTGAACCCTTTATAATTGTAGCGAAAGTGATCATGCAAAAAATCTGGTTATCTGGGATCGATTGGGATGAGAAGATTGAAGAGGATCTCATGTTTGAATGGTCAAAATTTATTTCTGATATCCCTCTACTAGCAAATTTAAAAATTCCGAGACACTTATTTTCCAATTATAAAATTTCTGTTTTTTTGGAAGTCTATCTTTGGAAGGTTTTTCTCTCACAAAAAATTACAACGAGTAATTGCTTTCGTTCTTCGGTTTATTAACATCTTAAAGAATAAATTAAAAGGGATTGTGGGCCCTCTTAAGGTTGAGGAACTAAAAAAGTCTCAACAGTTTTTTGTCAAGATGTTACAAGCACAGCATTTCTCGACCGAGATTCGAGAATTGGAATCCAATAAGATTATTCCAAACAAATCTGTTCTTCGATTATCGCCCTTTATCGATGAAGATGGATTACTAAGTGTTGGCGGTCGTCTAGCCTATGCAAATCTGCCCTATCCACAAAAACATCCAGTTTTGCTCCCTTCAAAAACTGCTGCAGAGTCATTATTGCTAAAGGCAGAGCATCTTCGATTGGGACACGCTGGGCCGCAGTCGCGGTTATGTCAAACTTACGATTAAGGTTTTGGCCCATTTGAGGCTTATTAGAGATTAAACGTATTATTCGTTATTTTGTGACTTGTTATCGTTTTAGAGCTCGATCAAGCCAACAAATCATGTCTGATCCAAAAACCAAAAGAACTCGATTTTTTCAATAGAAAATCAAATTCAGGTGGAGTCAAAAGATTTTTGGCATCTAAAGGAACTTCTTGGAATTTCATTCCCCCCAGGAGCCCTCATTTTGGCAGACTATGGGAAGCACGGAAGCAGTCATGAAGAGTACAAAGTATCATCTCTTCAAACTTGCTGGCAATTCACATTTCACTTTTGAGGAGTTAAGTACTATGTTATCGCAAATAGAGGCAATAGTGTAGTGGACAATTTTTTGAAATATTTTTTTTATTATTCTCCATAACAAAATAAATAGTAATTGATGATTCTTTGATTTTAGAAAACAAAAATAAACCAAAAAAAAACTAACAAATTTGTACCGAATTTTAAACGCTATAATTTACCGCCCCGAAAATGACGTCATAGCTGTTGTGTCGACGCGGTCTACGCGTCCTTATATTTTACCTGCTTTTAGAAAAAGATACAGATAAACTCAGACTGTTCTGATTAACAAATGAAAATCTCTCAAAAAGTGTGGTTGCGCCCAGGTAATGACGCTGATATATCTCTCTTTTTTGCACTAATGAGTAAGTGTGTGTCGAATATAAGACGAAGGTTTGATTCATTTCATACTCGAATACAACAGCTATGACGTAAAATCAAGGCGCGAAATATTTTCGTTTAAATAGTGTGTCCCAAAATCATATCTTGTCCACTACCCTATTTTAAATTAGCGTCCTTTGCTGCCAATTTCTTCTGATTCCGATGATTTGACATGCCTAACCCCTGGAAATTTTTTAATAGGTGATAGCTTAACTGCAATTTCAGAGAAAGATGTTAATGAAATCACTGAAAATCGACTATCCCGTTTCCAAAGATGTACTCAAGTTCATTAGTTATTCTGGAAATGGTGGTCCAAAGTCCAAAGAATATTTAAATTTATTACAAAGTAAACAAAAGTAGTTTAAACCCTTTAAAAACCTAAGAGTAAATGATATGGTGTTGTTGAAGTTGAAGGAAGATGGTTCACGCTCATCAGAATGGCCTCTGGCACGGGTTATCGAAGTTATCCCTGGTCAAGATGATAGGGTTAGAGTTATTAAGATATAGTAAGGATGAGGGATGGTATATTTACCAGATCAATAACGAAAATGTGTCTGTTATCTAACTAACACGATGATCAGGAATGCTTCACTTGCAGCCTTTGTGAAGTGATGACTTTGTACATATTGTAATTATTTATATTTTATTTGTGTTTAGTTTTAAGAAGTTGAAAGTATGACTTTTAACTGAGGGGCAGGATGTTCCGATAATCGGAACAAGTCCTTTGAAGTCCCCTTTCTGCCTGTAGTGATATGAAGGGGTTGTTATAATATGGGATATGCAGTAGGCGATATATATTATATCCATTAACAACAAAACAAAAGTTCAGTTGCTAGGAAGTTTGTTAATACCATAGAGTTTCTAGAGAACAATATTGAGAAGGTTTAATTTTTCAATGTGGTTTATCGATACTTACCTTCGGGCCTTAAATTGGCTTTTTTTGTCTAGATTTAGTCAATTTAATTTGATATTCGGTTTTTAGCAATTGTGAAGTAAGAATCAAAGGGTAAATATAAAATTTAAATGAAATATACGGAAAACAAGAATACCGTCCATTAATCTGATCTGTCAAAAAGATCTCACATGAAATTAATATTATTATCTATCTATCAAATAAATCGTATCTGCCTATATGATAAAAACTTTTTGTTAGTCAGTTACCAAAAAATTAGGTATTTCCCATGCTTATCCTATTTTATTACCTACCTTCATTTAGTTAATCAATTAAACTCTGACGATTATGTGTAAAATTAGATTTTACTTAGAATAAAGAGTAGGTTCAATTAACCCCAAAAATGTACCAATTTTTGATTGACATATTGATTATTATTGATTGTAAGACATTTTCCACCGAAATTACATTTTTATTTATAATGATTATTTTTGTTTCAGGAGCATGGAGCGAACCTTTTAACAGCCGAAGTCATTTGCCAACAAAAAAAAAGCATTGTGTCATACTTTGTGATTCGATACTTCCAGTCGGTGTTACTTCAACCAGCTGTTAAGTTGATTGTATGCTTAGCCTACGCCATATTAATAGTATTTTTTGTGTTCAATATTCTTAAGTTGCAATTTGATGTTAGACTATCCACATTTTTGCCAAGAAATACTCAGGAATACAAGTATCTCGAAGCACAAAATAATTATTTTGGATTTTATAATTTTTATTTAGCTACTACAGAGTTGGAATATCCATTTAATCAGCCGTTACTTCACGAATATCATTCATCACTTTCTCATGTTCCTCATGTACTTAAAGATTCGAATGGTGGTTTGAGTATGAATGATTTTTGGTTGGAGAATTTCAAGGAATATCTTGAAGATCTTCAAAGAGAGTTTGACGAAAGTAGAAACGCCAGTTGCCTGAATAGCGAAAAATGGTTCCCAAATGCCACCGAAAAAGCAGTATTAGCATTTAAGTTAATGGCACAAACTGGCATTGTAGAATTTCCAGTAGATAAAAGTACGATATTTAAGAAAAGACTGGTACAAGGTGGTATTATTGATCCCAAAGCATTTTACAATTATTTGTCCGTTTGGAATAGTAACGATCAGATATCGTATAGTAGTAGTCAAGCGGACTTGACACCAAAACCATTTCAATACTATAGTTCAAAAGCGGAATTTGATTTGAAAATTCCTAGATCACAACCATTGACTTACACTCAAATGCCATTTTACCTCAAAGGACTTAAAACTACCGGAGATATTATATCTACTTTAAAGCAAATTAAAACCATTTCTGAAGAATTTAATAATAGAGGCCTCAAAAACTATCCTATAGGGCTTATTTTTGCTTTCTTCAATCAGTTCCTACTTCTAGAGAGATTAATATCCGCACAGTTGGTACTCACCCTAGCCTCAGCAGCTTTAGTTGCTTGCCTTTCAGTTAAATGGACTAAATTGTGGTGTTCTTTATTTGGAGTGATTGGAGCTATGCTTCCCCTATGTCTTGTCAATATAAACGCGTTCAGCAGTACTATGGGAGCTTTGCATTTTATTATTGTTGGCAGAAATGTTCTTCTATTAACCACAGGGTTTTTAAGTGCCGTGGGTAGCAGAGAAAGAAGGGTAAAAATGTCTTTAGAAATCAATGCTGATCCGATAATTAAAGGCGATTTAGGACTTCTAATATCTATTTTGATTCTCACTATATCAGAATTTGAATTTATCCATAACCAATTTTTTATGTTCCTAATTATATCCATAGCAACCTCATTCGCAAATTCGTTAATATTCTTTCCTTTGATGCTTGCTTTGATTGGCCCAAAGGGTGAAATTGTTCCTATTGAGCACGAGCATAGAATTTCAACTCCACCTCCATCATCTCCACCGCCACCTCCAGAAAATCCTAAAGTTTTCTCCAAGCCATCCCGCAGAAATACCACCAGTAAACCCACTAGGGAAACTAGTTTAACAACAATAACAGAGGAAAGTTGCAATCAGAGTATCGTCGTTGAACCCCAAGTAACGGTCGAGTACAGTAGCCCAGAATCTAGTTCAAGTGGACCTTATACAACTAAAGTAACTGCAACTGCAAATATTAAAGTGGAACTTGTTACGCCAGTGTATCGTTCCAGCAAGTGCAGTAATAAATGCCATAGGAACTCAAAGTGTAGTACTCGAGTCAGGCAAAAACCTGTTCCAACTCAGTCTCAGCAGCAGCAGTGCAAATGTTGTAAGGACTCTGATAGTAGCGATAGTACTGCCGAGGCAGAGCCTTGCCAGTCAAGCTAGCATCTTGTTACCATGCTAGAATACTTAATTTAACCAATTCTATGGATTTTCTTTTAAATTATTAACTATAGGTTCAGAGTACAGTTTTATTTGTATACCTAATAAAAATAATGATTTTGGCAGTATTATTTTATATTAGTGCATAGTGCATGGCACCTATAGCCTGTTAGGTGGTTGACATTAATTTGATATTGATCGCCAACTCTTCAAAAGTGATACGAATACGGCTAAGGTAGGTGTGGGAAAAATTATCTTGCTCCATATCAATGCAATAGTTTTAAAGATTGACAAGAAACTAAAACATTTTTGATGAACATATTTTCTCCGTGCGTATTAAAAAATACAATTTGATCGCAACTACAAAAAAATTTAAAATTCAACAATTAAAATAATGAAAATTAGGTAGGTACCTACCTATCACCTGACTAGTAGTAACTTAAAAGCTTTTGTTCATAAAAAAACATCTACTTATACATTTTTGATTGGTGTGTTTTATTTTTCTAGCTATGGTAATTTTTCTCTTCTTTTTATAGAAATGGTTATTTTAAGTGAGCCAAAAAAAAAAAAATGTATAAAATGTTCATATTGCATATATGTATACCATCCATTTATTTATTTTTTTAAAAATCATGTAAGATATTTACTACTTTAGATTTATTTCTCCTATAGGTATTATTTATATTTTTTGTAAGCGAAAAAATTGAAAAAATAAAATAAAAACCTGTTTTATTTTAAATACTGCTACGTTTCATTGCCACATCCCTTCAGCACCACTAGTCCTAGGAATGACATAATGAGGAAAGTTTACTAAAAAAATTGAAGATATTGGCTAAATAAAAATGATCAAATGATAAAATTTAGGCATAAATAGTAAGTTTGCCGAAACATATATTTTATTATTATCTAGAATAAGGCCGCTGTTTGGCCCACGGATTCATTGTCCATAATTACTATAAGAAAAGCAATTTTCATTCAGATAATTTAGGTAACAAGTAAACCACATTAATTAGCCGCAAAAGACTTTAATTAAACATCGGGAAATTTCAATTGAAATAAAAGTAATTTTATTATTTAAACCCTATATACTTTGTTATAAATATAACTTATTACATTTTAAAATATGTAAGAATAAATTGAATCCTATTAATTCAATTGTATTTCATTAACTTCAATTTATTGAATGGTTTATCTCAATTATTGTACATTGCCTCAATAATATCTTTATATTTTTGCTCCACAATCCTCCTTTTTACTTTCATTGTGGGACCTAAAAAAAATTTTAATTAATTAAAAGAAACTTTCCTTTGCTTATAACGTAAAATTAAAAAGCCAAAAAAAATCCTCGGCAAAACAAAAGATGCTTTTAACACGTTAACCGCCATATGCATTAAATATGATTCACATGGCCTTGAGCTCAGAGGGCCGTGTGATTCATATATGATTCCAAAGCGTTTTTGTTTTTGAGGCCGGGTGCATAGCAGGTAATGCATGCGACCGTGGCTAGTATATGGGATCTTAAAAAGTGTGGCCTGGGGAGCAAATATCTGTGAATGGCCTACAATTTTTTTGCGGTTTAGAGATACAGCCATGCGTTTTAGGTTCAGCTGAAAATAATTTAAAAAAAAACAATTAATGGAACAAGTAGGTATTTATTATTTGATTGACTTTTTGTTAGTTCCTGTGCTTAAAATAAATGATTATTTATAATATAAAAATAAATAAAATATGTATGTAGGTACTTTATACTATAATTCACGTGGCCTAGAAGCTATCATTTTGCTTCTGAGGCTGCGTGAATTATTTATGATTCACGGAGGTAACTTCAACCCTTAAGATTATTTTGGGTTTTTTTAGTCATAGAATGTGTTCTCGCATTTAACATAATCTGAAAATAAAGAAATATATTGATGGCCCCCTCGAAACGTTTGTTTTACTCTAGTGCGGCAGTTAACGTGTGTTAAACACACAATAATGAGCTTGGCTAAATGGTATTTGTTCAAACAAAAGGAAAATCATATAAAAAAGATAGTCTGGGAACAGAACTGCAACACAATTTGGCAAAACGGATTTCTGCGAGTTTTCGTTTCCGTTGAACTCCGCCTGTTGCCAAAGCGAAAAGTGGATCCGAAGCCCATAATTCTAGATGATGGCCAATATGGCGGCAGTTTGGCGCATCGCGGGGTTTTCAACAGCGCTGTCCTACTCACGTGACTCACCGGAAGCTCGTAATTCAAGGCGTCGGCTAATATGGGACGTTTCCATGAAAAATTCCGATAGTGAAAGGATAGTCTTGCAGATATGAATGCTGTACTGAGAAGTATTGGAAATAGCTATAATTCTACAATGTGGAATCAACTACCATGCAGCTATTTTAGTTCCTAAGATATCATCTCAGTTGATTACTGGTGGACAATAACCATTGATCGTTGCTCTTGACCGACATCTTGAATAATAAGCTTCCGGTGGGTCACATGACAGGACATTGTCATATACGTGCTCAGCGGTGTCATAAAACTCCCAATGCGCTTCAGATTTCGACTTTTCTTTTAAATATATTGCTCCGCTCACAAAAGATAAAGTCTGTACTACCTAAGGGATACAATGGGCGGAAGAAATTAAGTGTCGATTAACCCCTGTTTGAATACGTTAAAGTTAAATCATTCAGGAAATTAGGTAGAAGGCAGGGAGTTCCAGAGTTAGGCAGTACGCCATTGCGGGGGTCGAAAAGCCCCAGAAATGCCAGTTCGAAATGCCCTGCCTACGAAATGCTTCTCGCATGCTTAAAACGCCCAATTTCTGTTAATGTTCCTAGTCTAAAATCACTTTTCGCGCAGAAAACTAAATTATTAGACTAAACTAAAGTTTATTTGTTCTCACGTTCTTCAATATTGTTATCGAGTACTAGTTGCTGTTTTGCAATAATTAATCACGTCAATCACTAGTGCATATGCGTGCGGCCACCCAAAACCCATTTATGGACCCCGTATTATAATATGAAAATTCATTTCAATTCTTAACATCTATACATATTTGGCAATATTATGTTAGGTTACCTAATTCTCCTCCTGGCAGTGAAAAATCAGTTGGTAAGATAGACACCTTCTGTATTCTCTGTGCTCGAGATGTGGCCTTCTCATTAGCCCGATTTATGCCCTCTTGAAGAGCAGCTAATAATTTTGGATCAGGACCAGCTTTTAAAACTTCTGTCACAGTAGATGCGGGACAACCTAAAGAGCTCAGCCATTCCTGAGTAGTAGGGAGTAAGTTATCCAACGGAGCACCATCGGTAGGATTAATTTCAGTTTTAAGCGTTACTAATAGCGACAGGAATTTCCGCTTGTCTCCAACAAGGAAGGCGTTGCTTATATGTAGTAATTCGTATTTTACATTTTGTTCGATTGGAACCTAAAATAAAAAGTAATGTAACAGCGTGGAATCATTTTTGTGGGGAGGTTAAAAGAGTAGTACAGTCTTGCGATAATGTGAACACACAAAATTGAACCTGAGAGCGTGTGATGTGTTCATATCGGGCTCTTACATTACAATCGAAACATGGGATTTTGTTTTAAGCGGGATTTATACATTCCGTAACGTATCCGTAAAGCAACCGTAATGTAGCAAAACGCAAGTAATTTAAAAATTACAATTTATACATTTCTTGCGTTACGTTTGGCACATGCGTTGTGAATTGTTAAAAATCAGTGAATAATTGTTATATTTACAATGTCTTTTTTGATACTGAAGGCTTCAATGGTCCCAGCTTAGGTTCTCCCAGCATCCCGGAAGCATTTTCATTTTATTATTTTTGAAATGTTGGGTTATGTTGAGTATTGTTGAGTTTTCATTGGTCAAACACAACGTAAAAAGTTGAAAGTTGGGCAACTTTTGCGGTACGTTACGTTACGGAGATACGGTTACGTCGAAGTATAAATTGCTTTATTTAAATGTATATGTTCAATTTCTTACGGTTGCGTTACGGTTACAATGCGTCGATCTTTAAATTGGGCTTTAATGTATCCATATAGGGTTGCCGTTATGTATGGAAACGGCCTAATATTTCAGAAGGCACTTAAGAAAAATGTACAATATTTCCTACCAGGGGGGCTTTATTTGAAATTGATGTCACTCTGCGTACACGCAAATTACGTCATTTGGGATTGAAAATTGGTGTACGGCTTATTTGACATGTACTTTCTCAATCGAAAATGACGTCATTTGACGGAATACCCGATTCAGTGGCGGTATTTGTAATGTTGCCAAGTTTACCGTTTATAAGATGTCGTATGCAACTTATTTTTTTTACAATGAAAGTCCCTTTTTATTTTTATTGTAATTATTTCAACGTCCCAATATTACTAAAACCCCTAAATGCCGAACCTTTATTTGACTTGGTTTTTGAAATATGACAACACAGTTTTTTGTTGAAATGTATGTAAACGGTCTCGTATTTATATAATAATAAGATAATAATAATTCCTACCTGGACCTACCAGCCCGCCTATAAATCTGGAATACCTACTTATTATCCTCGGCATTTATCACATTTTTCTGAAGCCTGTTCTGAAATACTAAATCGTTTGGGTACATTTCAACAAAAAACTGTGTTGTCATATTTCAAAAACCAAGTCAAATGGAGGTTCGGCATTTAGGGGTTGGAACGCTGAATTAATTATAATAAAAATAAAGAGGGACTTTTATTTTAAAAAATTAAGTTACATACGGCATCTCAGAAACGGTAAACTTGGCAACATTGCAAATACTACCATTGAATCGGGCATTCCCGACTTTCCATATATAACGACAACCCGTGTAATCTTCAATACAAATAGCTATCACTAATAACCACTGGTCTCATTATGTTTTATTCAAAACTAGCTGTTCCCCACGGTTTCACTCGCTGTTAAATCTATAAATAATTTAGAGTAGGTACTTCATCAGACAATATTTTTAAACAACAATATATCTAAAAACAACGTAGATGAGCTCAAACAAATTTCGTTCTTCTCCTCGGGCGGCCGCCCTTGTATTTTAGTACATTAATCAATATTCAAAAACAAATTTTTTCTAGATGTCGTTTGCATCTTTCGTTTTGCCTACAGTGACTCAATAAACCTTTAGAGACAGTGGCTACAATAGAGGTCCCCCCGCCATATTTTTCCTCATTTTCAATATGAATATAGAATTTTGAAGAATCAACCAAAAATAGGCCGGCAAATGTCGCCATTTGGTGCGTACGATAAGTCCGAACTATTGAGACTTTTTACCCTGACCCGTCATTATGTCGCACTTTTTACACCATTTGTACCGTTCAGCGTTCATTTTCCAGTGTAGTTTAGATGGTTGCGTTCCAAAACATAACTGCACCGCACTAACGCTAACCGGTTCAGACAAATCGTACGCACCAACTGTGGGTTATTAAGTCACTCTAGCTTTGCCTATACGGTTAACCAGAATATAATAATATTTTCCATCAAAAGTTTATATTTTAAACTACGAACGCTAAGGCATAATTAACTGACGGAAAATCTGAAGACGTCAGCAACTGTGCTAGTACACCATAAAGTTGATTCGAAAAGTCTAGGCAATCCTTTGTTATTTGTTATGTAGTTTGTGATATCCTTGTGCAAACTCTCGGACTGATATGTCAGACGTTCAACATAACCTTGTTTTTATTTAATTATAATTATGAAAGGACGACGCAGCTGACGATAAATTGTTTTTTCGTGATTTTTTCTATGTTTCAATTACCACGTTTATGCTTCCCGTTAAACCGTTTTAACAGAAAACGTTTCACTATAAAACGCTTTCATAAACACCCCATGAACCGTTTTATCTCGTTAAATCGTTTTGATTTAAAACGTTTTAAAACCGTGTTTCAACCAATTTGAAAACAGTTCAAATACTGCGTACCTAAAACATCTCAAACCGTTTTAAGGGAGTGCCAGCACTGCTTGTTATGACAGTTAAAAACTGTTTTGGGAAAAGCCCCAAAGCAGTACCTATAAGCACAGGATAAAACGTTTTGAGTTGGAAAACGTTCAAGCGGTTAAAACGGTTTAACGGAAGCATAAACTTGGTATATAAATATTAAATAGTTCAGATCATAAAAATTGGTCCAGCCGTTCTCGAGTTATAATTTCTGTAACCAATCCGACTTTGTTTTATATACCTATATAGACCTACGGCCGAGAAGCAAATAAGTCACCTTATCGGGTACAAAAGGTTCGAGTTTCTTGGATGAAAGTACTTTAT